TTACAGTTTTTTAAAAGTCTACAACCCTGGAACCCTTCGTAACATCGGGGCCAACTTTTGAAATATTTAGATTTCGTTTATTACTATTTAGACTTCTCGCAATAAAGCAAATGTTAAAACGTACCTGCTTGTTACATTGTGTATATTTAGTCAATTCGATTAATCTTTCTACTATATCTTCTAAATTGCTTTATGAAGTTATTTCTTGAATCAGTTGTTTATTGCAGTTGTATTGGTTATTATGAATTTTATCACTGTTTTACGATTTCCAAATATTTATACGCAATTATAAAGGTACATTAAATACATATTGTATGAAATACTTGTTTTATTTATGATTCTTAGCTTTTATTTCCCTTAATACCTGTACTCACAAGTAAACATAAACATTTTGACTTCAAAGTTTGAACGAAGTAGAACCATCGTGCCACATATTAAAATTTCATTTGTTATACTTATAATTAGAAGTAAAAAAATTGTTTATTTATTTATATATTATACAAAAAACAAAATTATAGAAGTTTTCAACACAATAATACCCCTGCTTCAGGTAGTTATGCTCTTAAAACCAATACATACATACTTCTTACCTAAGAAAACGATATCAGTGAAACGAGTAAAGTCGTCATACAAGAGATTTCAAATTAATCTAAGTTTAATCAAGTGACAATAAGTACAACACGATTTATTTTGAAGTTACGAACCAAGTATGGGTCTGCTTTATTTCATAGACACTTTTCTTAGCACAGCGTATTAACACCGCAAATGAAAATTCAGCCAGAAAGTTCCTAGATTCAATATTTGTAGTTTGTACAAATTGTATAGTCTATGGCATATTCCAATTATGGCCCCCATGCTTACGTCCATACTAGTTTATAATAATATAAGCAGACTATCTTGTACAACTATAATAACCATAAGTCCATACGGTAAATATTATCTTCGTTACAATATTGTCCTATTATATTAAAAAAAAACAATGGCGTTACCTTTTTATGTCTGGGTCTCAGATTACTGTATGTTTCATAATTATTTGTCAATCTAATAGTAGAAGTAGGTGAACAGCCCCCTGGTCCTAACAAACGCCGTCGATTTTTTTTTTACTTTTCAGCAAGCCAACTGCGGCTCGTACCTACGACCTCAAGGATGATAGTCGCACGTTGAAGCTATGAGGGTTAGTTTTAGTCCATATTTAGTCATAACTAAACCATCACCGCCGCTAGCAGTGCCGCTAATAGCGGTAATCCGCCAGCATGCTGTTAGGGCTCCCCCGTGCCTCACCTAGCCTATATTGAAATATAATGCTATTAATAATAAAACAAAATTGAAGTTTTATTTATTTATTGAATCAAAAACATATGACTATATTTTAAGCTCACTGTTAATTCAAACATTACACATGACAAAGTTTACACAAAATATTGATTATGATTCTGCTGATATAAAAATAAGAACAAAATCTCTATTTTCAACGGAATTTTAACTCAAAATTGGCGACGGGTGACAGCCTCTAAAAGCCTAACAGAAATAGAAAAAAACCTCCAATTATATACACAAGTATTCTTGTAATTTTTATGTACACACCTCTAAACTTAAGTAAAAATGTATAATTTTTAGTGTGTTAATAGATGTACCCCTTTTCTCTTATTCATAAAAACTAAATCAACCTAATCGCCCTCTTTTAACTAAAGTACTCTTTCATCTCATTCTGTCAAATTGTGTTAACGCTGTGATGAAGAGACAGATGACAATTAGTTTGATTGATCTATTATGAATAAAGAGATAATATCGTGACTTGTCATAGTTTGTTGCGTGTACATAAAAGTTAGGATCACTGAACTGAAATCCATTTTTTAAATTTATAAATCAACTCATATTTAAACAAACTGTTGTGATTATATCAGTAAATATATAATATATAACACAAAATACTTATGTCTGCATAACATAAACGTACGATTCTTAAAGATTTATCGAGATCGCTATATCTACATAATTTTGAACTACATGTAAGTATTACTCTAATTTGATCGGAAAATATTTTTTATTTCAAACCCTGAATATTGGTCGGTAATGAACATGAAAATAAATATTTTTATATCATGAAGACATCAACTCTATAGTCTATACACAAAAATATATTAATGTACAATAAAACCAGTTTAATATGATTTCCCACATAATAGGTATAAGCTGATAGTGAAATAGGACTCATAGTTTGTGTTCATATAATAAATTCAAGAAATTACCGAAATTTATCTCCTTACTAAAAAATCGTGTAGAATTGTCACCTCAATTTCTTCTTTGAAGACAGTCAAGTTAAACCGTTTTAACAGTTCTTTTGGTCAGTCTAAACACAAATGGACAGAAAGAGAGCGAAAATCAAATTAGTTATATTTTTATCAAATTATATTAATTTTTTACGAATAAGATGTCCCAACACGCCTTTCAATCTATTAAATTTTTTTTACATCAAATAGAATTAAAAAGTTAAGTTTAAAAAAATCTCAAAATATATAAGATCCCACGAACACCGAGTACGAACACACACGCTTCATTAGGCTAACAGTGGTCTACGTTAATAACGGTTTGGACCATGACTTTTACTTCACTTCTAAAATAAATGCATTTGCAAATCAATTAAGCATAAATCACGTTCATTGCAAAAACAGGCTTTACATTAGAACAATATAATTGAATGAAGCGCATTCTTGTAACAAAAGAAACACGCTGATTTTATAGACTATAACCATTTATAAGATTTTTAATAACGCGATGATGTCTTTGCCCACTCCACGATCTCAAACGAGCGTGCTATGAGCGTGTCAGTCACGGAAACGGCCGAAATAACCGTTAACTTATTAAATATCTCGTATCGGCATCATACTCGGGTCTGATAATGTCGTTCTGAATTTATAATTTTCTGTATTCCAATAGATAGTCTCGACACGTTCACGGACTGACGACAATATTGGTTCCGGCAAAAAGTAAAAAACTAGCGGCCTTTTGAGATGTGGATTTATCGTAGAATTCAGCGGATCGGATCGGACAGAAGTTACAAACCGTCAAGTTCTTCTCTATCGCCATTTACAGACCATGATGATGGGCGAAATTGCGGGTAAATGCTAACTTGGTACAAAATATCTTGCCTACGGAACATCCACTCTCAGATATTTAATGCCAGGGTTAAGTGAAACAACTGTTTAGATCGGCAATGAACGGCTACTTCTACGTCTGACACGGCCCTAGCACGGTCACGCTATGACGGGCAGATTCGTTTAGACTATAGAAAATAAACAAGAATTACTTATAGACTAGATAAAATTCTTAAATATATGAAAACGGTGGTAATGATAAATGCCGCAATTTGTGCTACTCGCAAGCAATTTGTAATATTTTATTAAAACTTATTTTATAATATTTATCACACGATTAAAGAAATACAATTTTAAGCGGTTTAAAACGCGTTTATCATATATATAATAATAATAATAATAAAGTCATTTAATCATTTAGGTACAATTTGTACTCTTATGCATGTCAACTCGGTTATCCTCATCTGACAGCGGCACTAGTGCCCACACATTCTCATCGTCTATAAATTCCCGAACAGTGTAATATCCTCCCTTTGCCACCAGGGTAACATTAGTATCTATATGACATACAGTTTAGCGCTCTCTATATGAACCCTAAAAACGCCTAACGTCACATTTATATCGGATATAAATGGATAAATGAACGCGTTTTAAACAGCTTCAACTGTTTACTACGCAATTTAAAAGTTTTGAGATTCAACATTATCTTAAATTCCACATCACTCTCTCTATAATAATTTTGTATTTTCACATCGAAGAATATTTAAATATACACAGCCCATGACACATTTGCAGTAAGGCAATGAAAATCTAATTCTACAAATTAAATAGAATAATTGCATTTGAGACGAATCAATAGTTTATTCGAGATAAGATAATATATCTTTACTTAGCCGTTAGTCAAAGACTTAGAAGAGAAAATATCTACTTATATATTTAACCATATATTTCATTAAATCTCTCACTATTTTCGAACACATCCAGGAAAAATAAAACATTCCTGATTTTTAGATTTAATTATTTTACTTTCACAAGCCGATATTTAATGTCTTATTTACCTATCTATATATTATAGTAATCCGAAAATATCAATTTAGGCCATACTACGAGAAAATATAGTATCTATTTACTTGTTCTACTGTCAAGTATAAATTGGTCTGAAAAAGAAATAATTTTGACAAATGTCAACTGTCAAAACAGATGGTATTCGTAGTTCAATGTCATTAGTATTATAGTAGAAAATAATGAAGAGGCCAATTTCGAATTCTATTAGAGCTATATATTTTTGTGCTCTTAATTGAAAATACGCTCGAAAAGCGCTGCTTTACCAAATAAAGTGATACTATTATGTTTAGCATAATGCTTAAAAAAATTTAGGCCGTAATATAAGTTTTAAATGTTTTGATTTGAAATTAGTTTCACAAATTTCCTTTATAAGTATTAAATTGATCCAACGAAACTGATCACAATTCTACATAATAATTAGGATAATTAAGTAAAACTACAGGTCTAAACCCCGACCGACCAACTACATATGGCAATGTAGACCCCGAACGAAACTCTTTAGTCAAATCTTTTGGCACTATGACGTCACGATTACTCGGACCGAGTGAGTTGGAATACCAGCAAGACTACCACATAACTGGCTAACTTGGTTAGAATTGAAATTCAAAGTACATATAATGCAAATAATTAACATCCCAACTAAGGTTACAGTGTAAGCTCACTGCTCTGATCAATTAAATGTTTAAAAAATGGTTGATAAATCCATAATTTCACTATCTATATATAAATCTCGGAGTAACAATATAAATGCGAGAATACTCGGTCCGAGTAAACCCGGATAAGTTGTCGGCTCAGTTGAAGCACGTGAAAGCATTTGGAAACCGCTTGATTTAAGATACCTTAGGCTTTAAAGAACTGGGGGAACTCGTTAGAGATGGCCCTGACTAGGACCTGGTCTTCTCTGCTGCATTCCCCTTCCTCGCAGAAGATCCTGGCGAAACAGCGGAGCAAATCGTCTCTGCGGTGCAAATGGCTGCTATATTCCGTATTGCGGATTATGCCCTGGAGGATCCGCAGGTAATGTTCGCGACGCTGGAAGGAATTAACTATTGATTAAAATCTTTCATACGCGTTTAATTCACACACCCACAACAACAGTCATAGTATGTAGACATGTCTTTGTATATTTTCTGTCCGTGATGGAAGGCTGGTGACCTAATATTTCTATTGTCCTATCATAGCCACCAGCCTCTCACAAAGATAATCAATATCTGCAGCATGCAAATCCGTAAAATGCAATATTGTGAAGACGGAAATAGTTTTTTATTATTAACTTTAAATACAATTATTACCGACTGCGTCACGGAGGTGGTGATTGTGAAAGACAACATAGACTTCACTTTAAAAAACAAAAAACGTTTATTCGATCATTATGTCAATAAATTAAAAAAAAAACACATTCAATCAATTTTATTACATTTTTGGCCAGTTTAGGCTTTAGCGTGCTCTTCTCAACAGTGCGTTTGAATCATTTTTTTAAGTGAAACTTCTTTAGGCGCATGAGCGTAATATTTTTACGGAACGTCACGAAGATTGCAGCGTTTTTGTCGAAGAAAAGAGAGAGAGCGATTGAGACCGATCGAGAGAGAGTGAGAAGGGAGAAAATGTTTTAGGCCCCAACGAGCTAACACTCGCTGGTGCGCTGAAGGAAGGCTAAAGTGCTACCGTATCTCCAGCCGACAAATCTGCCAATTGGCGCACGATGATGTCGATCGCCACCTTCACGTCGTTCGTGTAGAAATGTTCTGCAGTCTTCTTGCGGCTGAAGACGTCTATCGCCAGCTTCAGGACGGAGTGACGCGGAGCCGGCTCGTGGTCGAATATACGGACCGGATCCTCTGCAATATTTATTAAATTATTTAATAAATATTAAAACATTTAATAAAATAGAAATGTATTTTTGATTTCAACAACATAAATATTATTGTCTTTGATTAACATAACTTTTATTCATTTAATAAAACACTATTTTGACCGGATTGAAGTTATGTATTAATAGAGAAGACGGCCTAAAATTGTCAAACACCTGGGATCCAATAATATCCAAATTAAAATCTCAAAAAGAAACACAATCCGCGAAAATAGAGGACACCGTAAGCCATTTTTGCCAAAACCCTCCATCTTTTAGTCGATACCAACTCCGGGGAAATAAATACAGATAATGCAACTTTCTCTGCAGCTGTGATACTTTTTGACATTCAACATCTTTTGTCTTCAGTCACCGTGACCACGCACGCTGTAAAGCACGCGAAACGTCGGATAAATTTAAAATTATGTTAAATAGTTGTAAATTTATAATAATACATAACTTCAATCCGGTCAAAATAGTGTTTTATTAAACATAAATATTTACACATTTAGAAGTTTCTTTGAACCATAACGTAAACACATGAACCCTATAAGATTAAGTTAAATCAATGAATAACGTTTAAATATTGGCCAAAATTTAACTCATAAGGTTCAGAGATAAGTTTAAAAGAACAGAGTACCAGCTCTATAAATCAGTCTCGTATTCATAAACAAATGCACTTTTACGTCTCTTTCCGACACATCGTGAATGCCATATGATTGAAAGAGACAATGAATATTCTAGATAAAACGGTATTTACATGAAGTTGTAATTGTTTATATCATAAAATACAATAATACTGAAACTTCAAGTTTATAATTTTCACAAAATCATTTTTCATTATTTTTATGATTTACATTTAAATACATATTTACATAAATCGGTGTTTTGACCGAAATTGCTGAAATTCGAATTTTATATCCATAAAAAAACGTTTTACGCTGTTGGTACACCTCCGAACGGAAACGTTGCGAAATAACAATCGAAAGAAAATGTCGAAGTCTTTCCTGTTTCACTCTTATAAATGAACCGCTTCAAAATAGTGGCCCACGGGCGGAGATGTAGACGGCGCATGAGCAAATGAGCGAAATTACGGTAGAAAGAGACAACATCATAGTCAGTTTTGTACGTGAGAACATTTTTCGCTCCTGTTTCGCCGCCAAATAACTTACAATGCACAATGAAACTATTGCTGATTTGCCGTTTGAGTTTCACAGCGGAGGTGTGCTAACAGTTAAGACGTAAATTTAAAGAAAGTATTGTTATCTCAAGTGCCTATATCATTTATTTTTTATTTTTTGTTACATTTATTTTTAACAAAATTGTCATATATTTTAGAAAACATAGCTTGTAGCAACATATAATGTAGATATATCTAAACACCCACAATATCACTTGAACTCACCTTCGCGATTAAGCAGCAAAAGGATCTTCTCACAAAACGTCTTGGCATTGTCGATCGTCTCCAGAGCGTTGAGCAACATATTTTCGAAGGGATTTTCAAATTGCAGATTGTACGCGAGAAGGAGAGTGAGAAAGAGATCCGGTATCTGCTCGTCCACGTCCGTTTCCGGTGGATTCTCTATTAATTCTAGTAAAAATTGAGCGAATTCGACGCCGAGTTGATCTGAAATATTCGACATTTATATTATTAAAGTTTACGCAATTAAGTTTTGATTTATTCATAGACTATGATTTAGAATCAAACTTTCTGTTTAAAGTTTGGCCCAAATAATGTATGTGACCTGGTTGTAATACAATTTTTCGACCAACAAAGAGAGGCCTTTTGGAAAACACATTTTAAGACATCATATTTAAGTTAAACGCCAAAATTATATATATGCATTATAAATATGGTTATGTAGTTTATGGGTGTGGCAAATATATTGATATTTATCTATTTCGTAAGACAAATGAGTAAAGCGCTACGTTTTCCTGTGTTCGATTCGCCGTGAAATATAAAGTATCTTAAGTAAAGAACTTATGATTGTCTAAATAAACATATCTAGGAACCTATATTAAATCAGTCTTGAACATTATCACATTTCATACAAAATGGTGGATTGACCGGCTCTGAAATGGCATTTAAGTTCGATTCATATTTAAATAAGCCAAGATCTTTGACAGATCTTACATTTAATGACCATAAATACCTAAAGAAAGAAAAACAACTAAAGTACATTATTACCAAAATGCGTGATCGGCAGCGTATCCCCCATAGACAAGACCATAGAGAGCAGAAGAGCAGAATGTGACAGGCGACTGACAGCGCGAGGGTTGTCACGTATGTCGCGGGCTATTTCCGCCGGTAGTGCGGACAGGGCTAACGTCGCCAAAGCGGTTCGCTCTAACCCACACATTACACCGAAGGCCTAAAACGAAATGTGGTTGTGGTGGTGGATCAATGATTCAAATATAGAACAGTGACTTAATTGCTTAACATGCTATCTAGAACCCTGAGATCGTGCGTTTAAACCCCTGCTGTGCACTTATTAATTATTTTATATAAGGAAAGTGGCTAGTCTTAGATCCAAAATTGGTTGTATCTACAAAAGCTGATAAAAATAAAATATTATTGAAAGTAACATTTGTACAGTGTAAAAATTGAAAATAATTTATCAACAGATTAAATCAGAGCCTAAGAACAATAAAAGGCTTCATTGAATTATTGGTTGTACATATTATTTTAAAAAACACTTTTGCCTAAAAATTTCCTATTTTTAAGTATTGTTATCAAGTGTTATAGACAGCGGCACGTAAGTCTAGCGCTGGCCGATACGTGGAGGGGTTGCTGCGCATGTGTACTGTCGCGCGGGGGACGGAATGCGACTGGAGAGCCAATCGACGCTACGCGCGCCCGCTAGCCCCCCTCAGGTACCTTATTGTATCAATGACACAGTTTGATTTATACAAAATATATAAGATAATACTTTACCTGTAACAGCAGTTGTCGTAAAGGCCACCGGGTCTCCATCTGGTAATACTGAACTAGGGTTGACACATATGCATAACGGTGACTGCTTAGCACATGCTGGGAAATATTCACATCTGCATTTGACTGGAATTAAAAAAAAGTTATGTCATTAATTCATATGAATCTGCCTATTAGTCTTTAGAATTGCCCCTTCAAACCATTCTGGAGCATATTTTAAAGGTAAATGTCAAATTAGGTATTCCAATGCAGATTGGCTAAATTTTTCTTAAGGTTTTGTATTTTTTTAGAGTAATTTTCATACAAAAAGATATCTTATTGTACTCTGCCTGGCACAAGATCATTACAAAATTTGGGATATTATAAACAAGAAAGTGAAGTGTAAAGTAAGTGTAGTTAATACTTCATAATATAAAGAAATGGTATGAATATAATATACCATATGCTTAAGAGTGAATTGCAAAGATAAGGCACATATAGCACCTAATTCTATGCAGATAACATACAATTTTAAATGATCTTACCATAACAGATATAAGTTCCAAAAGCTGAGTTTGAATGTCATGTGCATCATCATGTAATGCCCATCCTCTCTGCTGGGCATCATTGGCTGCCTTCGACAAGGAGTTCAAAGCCGTCATCATCCTCAATGCATCAGGTGCTGCATCTATCGCATTCTTGGGACAGGTAATGTTGCTATTTGCCTCTCTAAGAAGTGCATCAATGATGGATCTAGCTGCTCCACCAGGGAGAAATTCCTATAATATTTTTTTATAAATTAATTAATTAATAACATACTAAGTTAGTCAAGACATGATAATGACTGTTTTATCTAGTATTTTAAGCAAGATATAGTAAGTGAATGATGAGAGAAAGCCCTATTTGCTATTTCAAAATAAAAAAGTATGTATTAGAATAGCTGTAAAGATAGTTCTTAATATATTTTGAAATTTACAATAGATTTATTTACATTCAATATTCAATCCTTTCTTTCCTTCAGAATTCTATTATGTTATAAATCACCTGGACTAAAAGCCAATTTACAAGTTTACCTTTGACAGGCAGACTCTATCACCACAGGTTATCAGGTATATGAATCTTAATGTCTGATGTATAAAATTAAAACAATGTCAATACAAGTTTAGCTCATAATACAAACCCGAAGAGATATAAGTACAGTTTCAACAGCCACTCGAGACATTTCATGGCTCAGCTGGGTCTCCCTTCTCACGGCCTGCACTATTTCATATATAGCATTTGGTTTAATACTTTCGCTACTGTCTTGACTGTCATCTTGGTTATCCGTATCAGATGACACTTGATTAGATGTTGGCTTCAAATCTTTAATTTTTTCTTCATCTGTCAACAAGATTCCTTATTAAATAGACACTAAAATATAAATAATTCGAAAAATTATAAATCAAAAATTATAATTCAGGCAACAGTTTAATGTTTAAATTAATTAATTAAAAACTAATGAATACCTTTACAGTTACTGTCATTTAGAGATTTTGTTGGAGATTCTTTTTCTTCACTAATATATTGCTGGGAAACCACAGGGCGTAGGTCAAAACACGGAGACACCCCATTAGGAGGTGTGTGATCATCGAAGCGAGGTGGAGGCTTAGGAGCTTGCTGCTTTTTGTGGGGTTTCACTAGGAACTGAACTTGTTTCCTCTTTTCATTTAATCTAACTACTATTTCTTGTTTTTGGGACATTGCTGGATTTTCACTCAAACTTTTAATGCAATCATTTAAAAATCCCAGAAAGTAGTCAGGGTCAACCTGTGTTCAATATACACTTTATTTAGTGGTATTAGTATCAGTTTATTAGTGTTAATAAAGGATAATAAAAATGAACTCTTACCTTGACCTCAGCTACGTAATTTGAAGGAACAAAACCCACTTGGCCTTTTCTATTTATAACGTGCCACCAATTTCTCTGTTTAGTGTTGGTTTGTTGCAAATAAAAATATTCTCCTTCGCAAAAACTTAAAGTTTTCGCTAATGTTGCTTCAAAATCGTACAATGCTTTAAGCATTTCAAAGTCTTCTGAAATAAATTGTTCCAATGAAGAGTGGACTAATCTTATATTTTTCTTCTTATATATTTTATTTATAACAAATAAAAATTACGATTTTAATATTGATCGATTGGATACCTACCCATATCTTGTCCGTCCCCCATGGTGGAAGTTAATTTTATCGTCTTCAAAAATAGCGTCAATACATTCTTTAATATCTAACTAAGTATGATCAATGAATAACTTTAATATTGTTTATAATTAATCCAAAACCTCAGAGTTATCTTAATACTGTTTTACTATTTCTGCAAAATGTAGTAAGCCAATCGCACGTCAAAATTCACTACCACTGACAAACTTAGACATTTGAGCATTGACAGATGACTTTTGACGGTTATGTTTTAACCAGCGTTGACCAATGATTTAGTACTATTATAGTATTGTAGTATACAAATGTATCTAACTAGTTACATACAGATACATTGATTTGAACCCATAATTTCCGATTAGAAGAAGTAAAAAAACATCTACAAAAACTTTTTTAAACTTTGTAAAATTCTTTCACGTAAACGATAAAGAAAAAAAAATGTAAAGCCCTCTTCACCTCTATTGCAAATCGACATACCCCTATGATAAAATAAAAGATTTTATTGATTCGCCTTTTTAAGAAAAATATTTAGATTATAATTAAAAAGTAAATTAGCATCCATCTCATAATTAACGGCCAATATCATTTTACTTCATATATCTCCGTATAACACAATGTCGTTAATTAAGATTACTCACTGACCGGGCCGCGGTAGATACCCGATCCTTATGCAAACTGAACTAAAAGATAACCTCCATCTAGAGCACAGGTACTTTACGAAGGTAAGGAAGGCTTCTTTTACCAGCGCTATTTGTAACCAACAATTATAAATCTAGCATAAATATTCCAAGATGTTAAACCTAGTTATCGCGTCAGTAGTGCTCGCAATACTTCTTCTATCTTATACTTCTACTACTTCTACTGAGGTGAGTGCGCAACGGTTTATTTTGCCAACATATCGTCCACCGCCACGCAGACCTGTCATCATCAGAACAGTCCGCGACACGGAGTGTGAACACCCGAAATGGCTCTACCAAGGAGACATACCACGAGCACCAGCGACGGGAGATCATCCGGTGCTGCCACATTATATCGATGACGTCAAGATTGACCCGAACAGACGATATGCCAGAAGCCTGGATTCACCGAGTGCTAAGCGGTATGGCAGAAACGTTGGTTCCTCCAGCACTGATGATGAAAAAGAGATGCAAGACCTGCGAAACTGGCTTTTAGACTTACACTTGTGTTAAGTCGACCAGACTTAGCAATTAATTTCGAATCACTATTTGCAACAATCATTGCGATAACATAGAAATCATATATAAATTAAAATAATGATATTACGTTTCTTTATACAAAAATTACCTACGATTAATTTTAATATATATTTAGCGTACTTATGTTATATGTTAGCGCCTCGACGCATCATTTCAGGGCCTTCCCGCCAAACCTGTCTACGACTCATAATTAGTCATCAATGCTCAAATCGCACGGTGATTGTTTTCGCATAATATTAATTACGCTGACGATCGCAAATTTGTTTTTATATAATTGGAATAGCTAGATATTATGAATATGAATTCTGAATGAATTGCAGATAATTTCGTTATTAATATTGGGCGCACAAGGAACTTTTTAAATCTCTGTTACCGTTCTGGTGGGTTACAAAAAAGATTGTTATGGATGAAGAAATCTTGCCACTAGACATGGGTCTATGGTTGCCCGACTTGGGAGTTTGTTTGATTTAAAAACAAAACACAAATACACAAATGGAGAGAAGTTAACTTAGCAAGCAAAAGGAAACAATAGTTATCCGAAAAAGGACAAAGATCACTGATGCACTAACATACTCCCTTCGACACAACGACACAAAGACTGGTGAAATGGCCGGGGCCACGAGGCACAAGATCGAGAAGCCGTCCTTGTGCCAGATGGACAGACGAAATTGCGATGACGGCGGCGGAAAGATGACGGAAAAATGGCACATTGAAAAAAATTGAAAATTGTGCAATGCCTTTGAAGGGAACTTTAACGCGTTCATATTAATAATAATGGCATTTATTTCAGAAACTTAATTATAAACATTCAAGTTTCATTTATATGGATCCTAAAACAAAGTGCGTGCGTAGAAAGTACACATGTCAGAAGTGAAACTTTTTTGGCAAAGGCTTCTTTTTAAGGTTCATATTTATACAAATCTAAAATTTTAGATTTCCGAGGCTTTTTCTCTCAATCGGCCCCAATCGCGCTCTCCCGTTACTTCGACAAAAACGCTGCACATCGTCGTGACGCTAATATTATTATTATTGCATTTCATCCGTGTAAATTATACCCACATGTGCTTAAAGAAGTTTTACTTCAAAAATAACTTTTAACAGTAGGTAAAATACAATGTAAAAATTTAGAAACCGTGCTTGCATTGTAAGTATTTGGTTTGTCCACCGTTGGACATGGGCCATGTGGTTCCACTCCATCCGGTTCCACTCGTCTCTGTCGTGGGCCAGGCACGGACAGGTGACTTTTTTGAATTCGCTGTATTATGCTATTATTTTGTTCTTTGATATTCTTCGATTTTTCAGTGTGTTGAACCGAATAAATATTCTTGAGTGATTATTGGGCGTATTTAAACTAGCAAAAAAATATCGATGTCTTCTAGGCTTGATTGTCTTATTACTTACTGATAATGTTTTGTGTCGTATATCTGTTTGAATTCTATGGGATGAAAAAAGCTTCATTATTATTATTCTTACGTTATAAGTCTTGCATGATAAAATGGCTCTCAGATTATAATGAAAGTACACAATCTATGCGCTAACCATTGTTACTAATTACTATCAAATTTCGTAGACTAATTGGAAGTTCAGAATCGAAACTTAGCACTAAGCTTGACTTCTGGTCACATGAGATTTGAACGCGCTAAGTTTCGACACTACATCTTACGATAATGCAATAATCATAAAATCATCTCAGTTCAAGTCTGAATTCTTTTCGGTTCTCATCTAGAAGTGAAGTTACCTCTTAGAAATTGAAGGAACAGGTTTTCGTTATTTTTTAGAACAGAGTAAAAGGAATGAATCATCCCTTAAACAAACAAAACAAACAAAACAAATAAATTATTGAATCATTTATTTTAATACCTCCACAAAACACATCCTAACACTTTCAGGCAATATAAATTGGGCGTTGACGACCAGGACGAGGATGGAAGGGGTCGACGGGACCAGGTCTCTTGGTTATTGGGTTAAATGGTTTTATGCTCCTCGAATCACGCTTGAGTTCGGGCTGTGCGTCATCAGTGCCGGAGGAACCGACGCTTCTACCATAGCGCTTAGCACTCGGTGAGTCCAGGCTTCTGACATATCGTCTGTTCGGGTCAATCTTGACGTCATCGATGTAATGTGGCAGCACGGGATGATCTCCCGTCGCTGGTGCTCGTGGTATGTCTCCTTGGTACAGCCATTTCGGTTGTTCCCTCTCCGTGTCGCGGACTGTTCTGATGATGACAGGTCTGCGTGGCGGTGGACGATATGTTGGCAAAATAAAACGTTGTGCACTCACTTCAGCCATAAATACGGCTAGAAGTAGTGATGCGGTTAATAGCTTAATCATTTTAATAATGTTTATAAGACGTCCAATTTGAGACTGAAGTCAGCTGCGAACTTTTCCCTTTTATATGAAGCCAAATGGAACCCGGTTCTTACCCCAAGTTCTGACTAATACTCGTATGAGGAAAAATATTGTAACCTAAGAACGTGTTATGTTATATCTTACCAGTTGAATATAGTATTTTATTTATATACTGCGGTAAAGTACCCTGAGTATTGACCTAAGTGGTGATAGTTTCTTATAATCAAGTATCAATATCAAATTTATAATAATTATATTTAAATAACACAATAGATTTCTGTTGGGACTATAATTATAGATATTGCATTAATTTATGGATATTAGAAGCAGTGTTGTCCTAGTGGCTTCAGCGTGCGAATCTCATAGCTAAGGTCGTAGGTTCGATGCCCGGCTGTGCACCAATGGAATTTCTTTCTATGTTCGTATTCAACATTCGCTCGAACGGTGAAGGAAACATTGTGAGGAAACCGGCTTGCCTTAGATTCAAAAAGTCGACGGCGTGTGCCAGTCACAGGAGGCTGATCAACTACTTGAATCTTAGATTGACAAATGATCATGAAGCAGATTCAGAAATCTGAGGCCCAGACCTAAAAAGTTTGTAGCGACACTGATGTTTTTATTGCATTATTTTATTAAGATATCATAACCTTTAGAATTAGCAGCTCGCCCCAATTACTCATAGACTACAAATATCTACTCGGAAACTAAAAAAATACAGATTAAATTACCAATGAAAAATATTATCAGTTAATAAGTAAAATATGTCAATGGTCAGTGAAAGCAATTTTTTTGTAGTTATATTTTTTTGTATATGTCCAACCGAATGACGTAGTAAAACCCCTGATTAAAATGTGTACCTATGTACTTATCTTTAAGTCACTATGTTCGTTCCCATACTCCTCCGAAACGGCTCGACCGATTCTAACGAATTTTTTATGCATATTCAGCAAGTCTGAGAATCGGCTACTACCAATTTTTCAAACCCCTAAATGTTAAGCGTGGTTAACCCCTATTTTTTTTGTTTTTATTTTTTTATGATACAGCATACAAAAATACATACAACCCTTAATTTCACCCTTCTTCGATCAACCCCTATTTTTGATTAGTAGATAGTAGATAGTTATTTTTATTGAACTAAAAAAATGTTTCCTAGATATAATGTACATGGCAAAACGACGTTTGCTGGGTCAGCTAGTATACAATAAAATAAGGCTCAAGCAATCTATTATCTCAGGCATTGGCATTCTAAATATAGATTAGAAAATATTATCACATAACAGCGAACTTGTACCCTCTGACCCAAACCAACACAATTCCTTATCTACGTACTTGGTTCTTTCCCTGATTATCTGCGTAACTTATGACTTGTCTCAGGTCAACGCAGTCCGGTTAAGTACCTATTTCACTTATATATACTGCTTCGTAGTATGGATACTATTAGTGTACATTAGTAACAACAAGAAGATACTCGTCAAAATGCAACAAAAAATCATATTCGCGTTTCTGTTATTTGCAATAATTGGATATTGCGCTGGAGATTTTCACATACCAGGTTTACCGAAACCAAAACCTGTTATTATACCTAACTGGAATCCTAATGCAAGGATTAAACCTTGGCAAGCGATAGGTGTTCGCCGTTCACGCAGTGTAGCAGATTTGAGCCAAGAAGAAATGTTTGACAGCGTGGTAAGATTTAAACGTAGCCCAAAGAGCGTGGAATCCTTCGACGGATTAGCACTTGATTCTCGCTCTATGGAACGCGTAAAGCGCAGCCCCAAGAGTGTGGAATCCTTTGACAGCCTGGAGCAATGGTAGTGACTGAATCAAATAATGTGTCGAACAATATAGATTTAGCTAAGTAATTGTTAAATTAAAATTTATTTATGTTCTGTATGTGAATTACGTCGACTAATTGTTAGTTATGTAATTGGCTAAATAAAATTGAATTGGGCATAGTGTGTGGTATATATTTTCTTCCGGTGACTGGCATTCAAATATCATCACGCGATTAATTTGGAAGTCACGCTATCTTATATAACAATACGTAAAATATAAATATAAATTTATTTTCTTGCAACAATATATACATGTTGCCTACAGAGGCAATTTGCGAAAAGTAATATATTGGAATTGAATATTAAAAATTAAAAAAATGGTTTAGTATAATTAACGACAAAAATAATAATCTGTGTCTGAATATCTTTTTATATTTTTGTTTTTCGGTTTAAAAGTATTATAATGTGACGGATGCGAAACAAACTATTACATACATTTTTCTCACAATGTATATGTAAATATCTAACAAAAATAAATAAATAGCAAACATACATTCGCCTGAGCCAACTAAAGAGAAATTAAAAGACTTTTAAAAACAAGAAGGCAACAAATTCGGCTTTAACGGACCGGCTCCACAAAAGGATTTCCGTTCAATTAGGCCTAACGTGTAGTGTGAATACAGCTCGTTTCAGAGCGATTTCTTCACGCTTGACGTACTGATGATTATTGAACCACGATTAATTTGGTGACGGTAGCTTTAAATCGTTAGTAACTGATTTTTTAAAAGCTATGAGCTGATGATATGAGAGCTACACTTTTAGATAAGCTAGCATTTGTATAATAGTACAATCAAGGCTCTCAATTTATTTCTTATTAATATATATACGTATACATTCTCAGAACGCTCGTATTCTATATTATATACTAATACAGAGAAATTTATGGGGTCATGCTGCTGATGTCGAAACTATTTTCATCCTGCAGAAGAGGGCTATTTGTGCAATAATATAATATATATATATATATATATATATATATATATAATATTATAATATAATTTAAAATGTAGGGAATCTCTGAGAGATAAATTCAAGGAAATTAATACTTACCTTTCCCTCGCAATATTTTTATGAATATATTGTGTATGTATACAAAAATAGTGATAAGTTTACTAGAATAGAACATACGCACAATGTTAATACTCGGAACAAACGCAGGCTGCAATTTCCCCGTACTAGACTATCTAAAGTTAGTAACTCGTTTTTGGGAAAAGGGATACTCTTCTTTAATAAAATCCCAGAGGTTCTTTTATCTTTGCCTTTTAATAAATTTAAGAAATGTATTAAAGAAAAGCTGTGTAAAAAGGCTTACTATAAAGTTAACGATTATCTAGTTGATAAAAGGGCCTGGGACTAGTGCTAGACAGGCTACTTCTAATTAATTTGCGATATTTGTTTTTAAATAAGTGTTGTTTGATGATTTGGTATTTTAAAAGAGTACCGAGAGTTTTTTACGCCGGCTTTTTCTCTCGGCCTACACCCTCTGTTTTCTTTGCCGATGAGTAGGGATGTCTACCGTAACAATTTAATGACGTGGAATAAGTGATACCTGTTTCTTATATTCCATAATAAACATATTTTATTTTTTTATTTTGTATACTACATATTATTTATAATCACAGAATGCAATTTATTAGTATATGTTATTGTTTTATTAGTATAATATGTTGAGTGCTTTTTGTGATACTCTAATTTAAAGACAACATAGTTTTAGTATCTGTGTTATCGTAATACTGTTTGATGGATAAAAAAATAAAAATAAAATAAAATATGTTTATTATGGAACATAAGATACATGTATCACTTATTCCACGTCATTAAATTTGAAGGCATCCCTACTCATCGGCAAAGAAGACAGAGGGTGTAGGCCGAGAGAAAAAGCCGGCGTAAAAACTCTCGGTACTCTTTTAAAACAGCAAATCATAAAACAAATATCGCAAATTGATTAGAAGTAGCCTGTCTAGCACTAGTCCCAGGCCCTTTTATCAACTAGATAATCGTTGACTTTATAGTAAGCCTTTTACACAGCTTTTCTTTAATACATTTTTTAAATTTATTGAAAGGCAGTGATAAAAGAGCCTCTGGGATTTTATTAAAGAAGAGTATCCCTTTCCCCAAAAAAAAGAATTACTAACTTTAGATAGTCTAGTACGGGGAAATTGCAGCCTGCGTTTGTTCCGTGTATTAACATTGTGCGTATGTTCTATTCTAGTAAACTTATCACTATTTTTGTATACATACATAATATTTTCATAAATATATTGCGAGGGAAAGGTAAGTATATTAATTTCCTTGAATTTATCTCTAAGAGATTCCCTACATTTTAAATTATAGATTGCACGAATAGCCCTCTTCTGCAGGATGAAAATAGTTTCGACATCAGCAGCATGACCCCATAATAATAAGCCATAAGTCATTAAGCTATGAAAGTAACTAAAATAAACAAGTCTAGCTGTATCGACATCAGTTAGTGAGCGAATTTTTTTAACCGCGTAGGCTGCAGAACTAAGTCTCTTCGCCAATCCGTTAATATGAGGGGACCACTGAAGTTTTGAATCCATGGTGATTCCGAGAAATACAGTTGTATCATCCAGATTCAATTCCTCACCGTTTATAATTGGTCTAGTATCCATAACCCTTGCATTTTTTGCACAAAATTTAATGCATTTTGTCTTTTTGCATTAAGTAGAAGGTTATTCATACTAAACCAATGGACAATCGAAGACAGAGCATTGTTCACATCGTCAAAATTTGTTATTTGTCGTTTGATTTTAAAAATCAAGGACGTGTCATCAGCAAACAAAACTATCTGATGTTTTCTCTCTACCATGAAAGGTAGATCATTTATATAAACAAGAAAGAGGAAAGGGCCAAGAATTGAGCCCTGTGGTACCCCATATCTACTGCCGACCCAGAGGACCTCTTACCATTCACTTCAACCTTCTGAGTTCTTCCGTGTAAATAGGAAGTCAGAAGATTCAGTGCGGTATTCTTGATGCCATAGTGGCGGAGTTTCCCGATTAAGGTCTCGTGTTGGACACAATCAAATGCTTTGGATAAGTCGCAGAAAACACCTAAAGCGTCATGCGACTCCTCCCAAGCCTTAACTATATATCTATATAACTCAACACCGGCATCGGCTGTCGAGCGACCCTTGGTAAAACCGAACTGATTATTATGTAATAATTTGTTTACGTTAAAATGACTTACCAGTTGATTTAATATAATTTTTTCAAATATTTTACTACAAGTAGGTAGTACGGAAATTGGTCTAAAGTTACTGGGGTCGGACATACTACCTGCTTTAAATAAAGGAATAACTTTACTATGTTTCATTAGATCGGGAAACTCGCCACTTTTAATACAATTGTTGAAAATTATAGCTAGATGGGGAGCAATTACATCAATTATGCTACTAATTATTTTTACAGAAATACCCCAAAGATCGGTAGTGTTCTTAATATCTATGGTTCTAAATATCCTCACTATATCGTCGGCACCAATGGGTCGGAATGAAAAACTGACCTTGCACTCGTTTACATTATCTTTGAGCAGCGATTCGGCGAGGGCGGGAGATGATTGAAGAGACTTAGTAGTCGAAATTGGAATGTCAGAAAAGTACTTATCAAAAACAATCGCTATCTCTTCGTTAGATTTGATTATAGTGTTATCGACACATAGTTCGATGTCTTGATTGCGATCCCTGACTCTTCCAGTTTCACTATCAATTATCTTCCAAGTCATTTTAGTTTTATTGGTACTATTTTTAATCTTGTTTTTGATATTTAAGGACTTGGCCGCGTAACAAACTTTCTTAAATAATTTCGAATAATTTCGAACATAAAGAATAAATTCTTCATTATGATTGTATGACTTTTCAGCGTAAAGGTCATACAACCGTTGTCTACTTTTATAAATTCCCGCTGTCGCCCAATCACTAAACGATTTACACTGCGAATGAGAGACTTTCTTTGGGGTAAAGATGGTGTTGAACTCTTTATTAATACAATCACTTAGATTGTTGTATTGTGTATCAACGGTAGTACCTACCGGTAATAAAGGTAGGCGTTTACCTATATTATGTCTAAATCTCACCATTCGCTTTTTATTCACTGGAACAAACACACTGCTCTTATTTACTTGTTTCACCACTTTACATTTTAGCGCCACTAACTGTCCACAATGATCTGAGCTAAGATCAGTTGTAATTGAGGTTTGTATTGCCTCTGCATCTGTAAATACATTATCTATACATGTAGCAGTGGAGCTTGTAATTCTAGTGGGCTCAAGAAACAAGTTAACAAGATTGTAAGATTTTAATAACAGATTGAATTTTTTACTAATGGAGGTATTTTCTAATAAATTTATATTGAAGTCACCACATACAATAATATACTTATTGTTCTTAAAACTAACTTTACACAAAATTTCCTCCAACTTTTCTTCAAAAAAATCGTAAGATGCACTTGGTGGTCTGTAAACACTTAAAATAATGCAATTCTCAATCTCTATACAGGCTACTTCCAAAGAGTGTTCTACAGACAGACACACGATGTCATTACGCTCTTTATACTTTAAATTTTTATTAACAATAATCAAAGAGCCCCCATGAATCGCCGACAATCTGCAAAACGAACTTGCAACTTGGTGCTGATCAAAGTTAAAGATGATTTGGCATTCTCTAAGCCAATGTTCGGTAATGCATAGGACATCAATTTTACTTGATTTTAAAAACAACTCCAATTCTAATTCTTTGCCCAACATACCTTGCATGTTTTGATGCATCAAGTTTAAACAGTTGTTGTTAGTAATATAACATGTTTGTGTTGAGCTGAGTTGTACTAAATTATTGCTAGAGTTTGCCTCTATTGTCACACTATCTAATTTAAATTATTTATACTTAATGAAGTGCTACTGCAAGTATCACTACATTCACTTAAGCTAAGCTGCTCAATAGAAGCAGTTGTCTGAAAAGCTAGC